CCATTAAAAAATGTTTTTCAGTTTTTTCAGAAATAGTTTTAATGTAGTGCAATATTGCAAAGAGCTAACATAACATTGGGACTAATTAATGTATTTTTTTCCAGCAAATACAGACTTTTAAGACATCCCTTATCCTTTCCCAATTTTACACATTTTAATTCATATTTTGCAAAACCCCACCTGGCCAGCTTTTGCAGGGTATCAAAGCAAATAAACGCAGTGAACTGTTTGGCCACATCGGGGAGGCAGCCTCCGGCCCTGGCGGAAATAGTTGTATGCAGTTTTAAATTTGCGCCCGCGGAGACAGACAGTCGGCAAGGGGCAGGGGGAGGTGCTGTGGGAGCGGGACAGGATGGGAGGAGGGGGAGCGGGAGGGGCAGGAACCCAAGGCAGGTGAGCTGGCCGAGGTGAGATGGGGATTGGCTCAGCGGATTGGCCGAGGCCATGGCGCTGCGTTAAATGAAGACCGCAAATGCAGCGCTCTAATTAAGTTAAACCCAGACACTGGCAAACAGATGGCACACTCGTGCATGGCTTTCTACGTGCTCGTGGCTCAATAATTAACTAACTGGCAATATGCAGCCAGGCTCACACCCACCAATTCCAGCCAACTGGTCCACTGGGGAGGTGTCCTCGCCGCCTCGCACTTTGTTTACAGACAGGGACTTCAAATGGCATTGCACTTGAACTATTTCGGAATATTTTTATTTCGAATTCCCAGATTGGAGATTGTTTGCAGCTCTGAGCGCCTGCAATTTGTTGCTGGGCAAGCAAATTGAATTAAATTTAAACAATTTCATTTTATTTCTAGAGTGTCCGAAAGCAAGTTGTTCAAGGCAAACTTGAGCAGAGACAACACAGTCGTGTTCCTGTCTGCACTGCCGTTGGTAATTTTAATTGCCAGCCCGCCCCTTCCAGTTTGGTCTTCAAGTCTCAAAGCGGCAGACAAACATTTTTGCCCAAACTGTGTGAAAAATTCCCCAAATAATTTCTGACTACAGACAACTGTCGAATAAAATATATTTGCTATGTTACACTTTTAAAATAAACGAAACTATTACAATTAAAGAGTGATTTTAAGGCTACCGTTAAAGTGAGTGATTTTGGTTGTTCTAAGCGATTACAGTCAATAAATTTTGATTTGTTCACTTTAAAACACAGTGAAATTAAAATGTTTTTCCTAAAAACAGAAAAAAAGTATTACCTCGTTAATTAATAAATAAAATTGGTTTTAAATTAATAATTCCTATTGTATGTAGCTTATATATAAACAGAGATTTTGAATCTACTTACAAGCTGTTTGGTTTTTCCTCCAAGTGTACAGGAAAAGTTAACGAGCTAAATATATTCAAGAATCCGATTAAATATGAACAAAAGTTGACCGTTTGTTTTGGCTTTCATTGGAAAATATATTCAGCTTATTTTATATATTGCAAATATTTGGAATCTATTCAGAGTTTTGCGCAGCAGCATCTGAATAATACCCGTGTATTAGTGGATTTTCCGCCATAAAATCCCATCGAAACGTGTGCGGGCATAAAAAAGGACGTTGCCACAATATGACAATCCATTGAATGACCATGGATCTGCCTCATATCACAAACAATAAACAGCCACAAACGCCAACAACAATGGAACATAAAAATGCAACAAAAAACAAAAAGGAAAACTAAAACAATGCCATGAGAATGGAAAAGAGTTGGCCAAAAAATATAAATCGCCTGCCAGCTAAGCAAAATGTCAGAGCCATAAATATCATAAAAAATATATTATCAAGCCACCATGATTCCAAAATTGGAAGGAGGCGGAGTACACGCAACATATATATCTGTGTGTACAGCATTTGTGAATAAAGATTGTTGTGCTTCGACTTGCCCGTTTAAGTGTTGGGCAAAAATTGTGTGTTAACAGGCACTCGAAGGAACTGCAGGCGGGCGAGAAGGGAATATTTTAATACGAGCAATAAAATTAGAACAAAATACGCACTAAAGCTAAATTGAAAAGAAAATCGTTATGGTTGACACAAACTGAAGGCCATAACCAAATAAAAGCAAGCCAAAAAGGGGAGCTGAGGGGGCAGGGGCAAACCAAAAACGATTCGAGCGCGTTAAGCAAAACGCGTTTTAGTGGCGGCCCCAGCCAAAACTGCACACATACATATGTAATCAGAACGCCGGGAAAACTCTGGCAAAAACACATTTTATATGCTTGTTGTTGGCTTGCTAACTTTGGAACAATTTTCGTATTTTTTATGCGAGATTTTCCTTTTCCCCCGCTGTTTCTCGGTCTTCCTTTTTTTTATAATATTTTTTCATGCGAGTTAGGGGAAAATAAAAGCACCAGCAGAGAAAACTTCTTGGGTTTCCAATAATTTGTTGTAGCGAACTTATTTTGCATGTGTGTGAGTGGGTGTGGGTAAGGGGTTTTTGGGGTGTTGCTGCTGGGAGTGTTCTTGTTAGCCGCTCTACATATATCAAACAGCAGCAAAAACGAGGCAGGGAAGAAAAACTCTAACAATACAAAGGGACAAAAAAGAAAAATCCTAAGCAGTTTCCCAGTAGCAGCAGCAGTTTGTAAAATATATTTTTATTGCTATTGCGGACAAACACACACACTATACACTACACACAGTTACCAACAACAGTACCCGGCGACTCCTTTGGCTGGTCGTTTTGCCATTGACTTCTTCTCGCTATTAAAGCGCTGACAAAAACCAACAACAAGCACGGAAGTAGCGAAGCTGTAGCATGCTTTTTGTCATATTTCACTGGGCGGGGCAAGAAGTAGCAGCAGCAGCAGCAGGATCAGGACACGCATGTTGCGTACGAGGATGCGAGCACTTCATAAAAAACACTTTCATTACAACTACAACGGCAACAAGCATGGAAAGTGTACGGGCACCGTGGATAAATTTGTGAACTATTAAATAAACTAATTATAGTAGCCTTAAATCAGTTTTTACTTTTACCTTTTTAAAAATTGTGAATATAATTATATAGAATTTTTATTGGATTTCTTAGTGGTGACTTAAACGACTCAACTTATTTATGCTAGATTAATAACATTGTTTTAAGTGTAGTCTTTTAAAAATGTATTTAAATTTTCAATAAAAAATCGTTATCTTTATAAACAAAACTTTAAAAGTTTTTGGTTAAACAAAATTTTTAACGGCATGTAATTTCCTAATTGAAAATGTATCATTTATTTATTATGCAAATTTGTTTATTCTTTATTTATTTATTTTTTAATTATTTATTCTTTATTTATTTATTAAGTTCATATGCAAAAAAAAGTAGAAAAACTATAAGTATCTCGATTGCTTTTAGCTGCAAATTTAAGTCACACCTTGTATAATAAGCAGAAATTTCTGCGAAGACTTCTATGATTTTAACCGCTTTTTCATCCTGTCCCATGGTGCGTCATCTGTTTGGGTTCGGTTCCGGCCGGACTACTTACTACTTCAGCTGGCATTATTTCATGTGCTAAAGTCGCTGCGTGTTGTGTTTGCTATTAAAAATGTCAGCCACCAAGTGTTTGCGAGTGTGTTGGTGCTGCAGCTGTAAAACGGACGCTGGCACACACATGTGTGTGGAAAACATGCTTTTAACACCGAAATGAACTTGTACGCCATGTTTATGAGCTGATAAAAAACAGTTGACCAACATTTGTGGAAGTGGAAATTGACTTTAACGGAGGGGAGAAGTAAATTAAGGATCTTTTTAGGGGGCTTGTGTGGGGCAGAGTTATTTCTTCCTTCGGGCAGGGACTTCCCCGAGGGACTCTCACCTTCATCCGACTGATTTGGCCTACATAGTTAACATTGGCTAACAGAGCCATAAAAAGCTCAACAAGGCCTCTAAAAATGTGGCACACATTTTTTGGGAAAACCAAGGAATTTTCTCTTAAAGAAGAGCAAAATGCTGTTGATGGAAAAGAGCAAAGTCTGCTCACTACAGAGCTCTGTTTGATCGAATAACAAATTGTTTATTGGCCTATATCAGTAAATAAAGAAATTAAAGTAAGTATATAGTATACTCTGGAAGCTATGTTTTAAAAGTAACGGCAAAGCCGTTGTAATTTTGGTAGGTTTCCGATGTTGACGATTAAGTATTGGCTTTTTGATTGATATGCGGGTGTTCACATCAGCTAACAGGCAACAGGTGGGCTTTTGATTGATGTCCAAATGCTGCAGATGAAAGTTTGATGGTTATGAGAACTCTGTATATGCAGAATTCTAGTTTTGACGATTGTCTTAGAAAATAGTTAGAGATCTCTCTTAAGCAAAATCTTTACATTTAAAAAGGAAACAAAAAATGGCAAACCAAATCATTTACCTAACTCTTATATTTGTTTAATAAGGTCATATTGTTAAATATACCGACATTTTAGCTACTAACTGTTCCTGAGCTATTTTAGAACTTAAGACTTAAGCAGTAAATTCCACATCCGCACAATTGCAAAGCAGATGTAAAACTTAGCACAACCATCAGCTGTTTTTTAGTACAAGCTGCGCCAGAGAAATTCCCGAGAGAAACGAAGTAACCCGAGAGAGGGCCAGAGAAATGCCGCAGGCTAATTTGAAATGTAAACAAGATTAACCGCTGCCATAATCCAACTGCAACATAGTTAATTTGTACTATCTATTGTATTTATCTATCGTATGTGAATAAACACGATGTGAAGCCATTGTTTGCTTAAGTGGTGTGTTTGAAGTTAAATTGGGAACAGTTACAGGAACTCCCCCCAAAAGCCTGCTATAAAACCGAAAAGCCGCGTTTACAGAGCGCTGTTATCACGCAGCATCCACCACTTCGTGCCATAACTTCGGGGGCTGGAAATCTCTCGCGTTTGCTCTCGGGACAGCTTCTCTTCGTACCGCTTATTGGGCGGTCATGAGCGTTTTCCGCTCGGCTTTTCTCGACCCACTCGGCCAGCATCCGTGCCGAGCTCTTCGGCTCCAGCGTGTGTACCATAAAAGTCGGTTCAGTGAGAGTTTGCGATCCCGCGGGTACGGTCGGAACTAACGGGACTTCATCGGCGTACCGCGAGCAGTGCGAATTGTTTTCCGGCCATCTGAGCAAATCAAACCGTGCATCCGAAAATCTCCGAAAAGCCATTGAAAATTGGTCCGGCAAACGTGTGAAAAGTAGAGTGTGAAAAGTACATATTAGAAACTGGAGAATGCCAAACTGAAAAGTGGAAAAAAGTGCGTTTAAAGTCGCGTCCATCGCCACCCCAAACTTGTTCGCAATGTAAGCAGCTGCCAAATGTTGTTCCTATTCTAGTTGTTGTTGACCAGCAATTTGTTGCCGTGTCGCCGAATTCGCAAATCAGCATTCGCCCATTTAAGATCTGACGCTGATCTGATCTGCCTGCAATGCCCCCGTCGTTTTCAATGAAAATCATTTCCACGGAAAGCAGAAAGCAGCAAACAGAAAGCACGGCCATTGAAAAGCGCACGAAGCCTGAGTGGCGTCGTCGTTCTCGTTTGGATTACTTTGATAGTTTAGTGGGTGTGCGTCTATATCTCGGTCTATATGTGCCTGTGTGATTGCTGTGGAGCCGGCAGATAAAACGATTTCCACGCTCAGCTGCTCGTTTCATGGCTTTTTTTCGGATTTCTTTCATTTGCTTGCTAAAATAGTTTTTTGCCGCTGTGCTTTGTTGTTCTGAACGAGCAGCTCGTACAAATTGCACGAAAATTGTTATTGTTGAGCGTTTTAGTTATTTATACGGTTAGTTCTTTTCGGTTTCGTTTCGTTTTTTCGTAATGCATGCGCCGCCATGTCTCTTCATACAGTGGCCCTGCCAACGCCATCATATTTCATGGCACTCGCACATAAGTGCAAAATTGCTGGCCTTTGACGGCCATTAAGGCCCAGTGCAGAGTGCCAGTGAAATGCGAGCCATAAACTAATAGATGAACACGGCCCCACTCCCCCACCCAAGCAAGTACATTTGTTTAAATTGCTAAATTGCTGAAGTGTGCGTGTAATGAAATTACACAGATGAATGCCACTTCAAAGCAAACTGTTGAGGCCTGTGATGGTGGCGGAATTGAATGTGCACGATAAGCTGCAGGGAAAAACATTGATGGACCCTGCGACTGGTTAAGATAAGAGTGATATGAAATTAATGTTCAGACATTTATTTGAGGAGGTGTGAATTTGCAGCTGAGCTTTGGTCAGCTTCAATCTGACAGACTGACTGGAATGAATAATCAGATTGAGGCAACCAAATTAAATTAAACTGAGTTTGGGATGAACTCATTGTCGAGGCTTCATAACGTGCATGTAGGTAGATTGAATTATAAATAAGCTGATGTTGTTTAAAATTAAATTAAAATTCAGTTTTAAAAGGTGTTTCTAACTTGCAAATTTTCGGTTAGAATTTACAACTATTTCGTCATATATTAAATGTTATTGTTTCGACTTGTTAGATAAAATACATATACAAATAAATCATATTTAAGAAGTACCGTGTTCAAGAAAAAATCATCATAATATTATCACTTTGAAGACCTAAAGCAAAAGTATAACGATTCTAATGCAACTCAAAAATAAATTTGACCAATTGTAAAATATAATACAAATACACAAAGCTATGCACTCTAACCTTATGCGAAAATAATTTTATTTGCCAATTCCCCTGAACATGTGTTCGTTGTCCGCAAAATACTATTGTTTCAAATAACAACCTAATTCATGCTGCTCCCATTTCGGTTCCTAATCAAACTCACTTAGTGGCTATGCCGAACATTAATTACGAATTCTGGCACAAATTCGACAGACCGGCCTGCAGCTGAGGAGAACAATGAGGATACGATTTGGCGACAAAATCCATTTCCAAACGACACACGATACAACATAAACAAAATTATTGGGGACCCCGAGAACAAAGTGCATCAATTCGAAATGGAAATGCGAGTAGAAGTGAATTTTAATATGCAATTAATGCTGCGGACAGCTGGAAACCGAGCGTTTATTTGCATATCAAAACGCTCGAAGACTGTGTTGGTGTGTGAGTGGGTGGTGGGTGGCTTGGCTTGGCAAGGCCATTGCTGTCCAAGTGCTAAGCAGTGTGCTGATGTCGGTGTAATGCATGCAAACAGGCTCCCAGGCGCACCCAAGTATGCCGCACAATTAGCAGCCCGAGGATGGGAAACAGCTGCTGGGACGACGATGGTGTGGATGATGTTGATGATGGCGCCAAGTGTTGAACGCTCTGATTGCTGCCCAGTCCTGCAAGTCCCCCAAGTCCTGCGCCCCTCTATCAAACACACACACACACACGTGCGAACTGGCGGCCATTAGAATTTTTAGTATTCATAAAATTGCACTTGAACCCTTGCGAAACGAGGCAACCATGCATGGCTTTTTATAGGCTCACTTAGCGCACATAAACCGCGAAAAAAGTGGCAGGGCCAGGTAGCAGCCAGGAGAATCCTGCTCAAGGACTCTCCTGCCGCACACTCGTGCTCTTATAGATGCCATAATAATATTGTAACTTTGCACTTCAAATTGCATTTTAATGCAAACACACTTCATTACATTACAAAATAAAGAGAGGGAGCGGGGGGAGAGCGCAAACTTGCATGCCGGAAATGAAAAAACATCGACACACTTTGCGGCAGCTGCAGTCGGAAAACTCACCCTGATACTCACACATGCTGGCTTGGCAAGTTTGTAAATTGAAGTGCATGTCGATCGTAGGTGGATGCCTCGATGGCGAAACTGGCACAATGTTCCCTCACACCCGCACACACCCACACACCCGTACACCGAGCGAACACTCACTCACAGGCACATGCCCATCGAGGTTACGTATACGCAGCGTACTCCCTGGAGAACCCTTCACTTTCGGCCCTCAGCTTGCATTAGCTAATGCGACTCACATTTTATTGGGAGCGCTTTTTATTGGCTGCACACAAGTTTTTATCCTTGCATAACCCATTCACTAAACTGATTTGCCAAAGTTTGGCAGGGTCCCGGGTAAATGGATTTTGAGTGGCTCATATTTAATTTCGGGGCCAATTCCAATGTCGGATGTGTGCCAAACATTAAAGCGGGCTGGCTGGCTACTCGATTGGGAATGTAAATTTAATCAACTCCACTCAGCCATTTGCTTCACGTACGTTTTAATTAAAGCTTTCATTTCTCGATTTAATTAAAGTTCGGTGCAAATCAACAGCAGCAACTCAAATGTTTGGATATTTCTAGATTAGATTTTCAATTCCAGGCGGCCAAATTTTATTTAGCTCGCTGTGTCGGGATTTCGTTATGAATAGCATTTTACTTCTGATATATTCATGTTGTATTGACAAACGGTTTACAAATATTTTCACTTTATCGGAATGGAAATCCATTTGCAGGCAGTGCCTGCATTGTAAATAAATTTAGACAGATTTATTAACGCCGTTTTAAAAAACATGATTAAGTGGCCATCCCACCACTTGTCAATTGCGGTTGTGGGGTTACTGTTGTCGGAAAGTTTTATTCACTTTAAATTCAGGGCGGCTGCAAAAATAAATAAAAACTTTAGGGCGTAGGCCGCTGACTGAGAGCTGAAATAAAATTAGTGCAGCCAGCTAAAAGCATTTGGCCCCTGTAACACTGTCGATAAAAATCAAGCTAGGGCAAGTAAATATATCATAAAAGCACGTCGCATAGAAACCTCGATTTTGCGGCTGTAAATGTGTGGGTTTTACACAGAAATAAATTTAGGAACTATTCATTTTGATGCTCGGATTTCACTGTTTTTTAAGAATTTCTAATTGAGAAACTTAATAAACATTGATAAATTCGTTTATTGAAACGTAAGGTTTTGTGGATATACAAATTGTGAAGAAAAATTAAATTTTCATTTATTTTGTATTTAACCTAATCTTGACTTGAATTAAAATCCAACCAATTTATTTAAGATATTTGGAGTAAAAGGTTTCGTTAATCAGAAGATGTTACATATCTTTCCCGAGCCTTCTGAAATCAGAATGGATTGTTTTGACTACTTTTCTTCCAGTGTTTGGGACTGTGATATTTGAGCCAGTCTGTGTGTAGTCTAGAAACATGGACGTGTACAGTTTCCGATTTCCGCTTTCCTGTTTATCGTTTATTGGGTTTTCGCAACGTAAAAGTAAAAGCACTGCCAGACCGAGACGCCGCCGAGCGTGGAAAAGGAAGAAATCCGAAGAGAAATTTGCACTCGTTAGCTCTTCAGCGGGAACCGACTTCTGGCAGTGCCATCATCGTCATATTGAACTTTGATGCTGGCACGTTCCTCCGGCTTTTTGCCCGAGTCCCCGCAGTTGGCTCCCGCTTAAGGATCTACACGCGCGGATACTTTGGCACATGTTTTGCCGGGCCACCATCCATTCCCGGCCATTTCCATCCGCAGCTCCTGGGCGCGTCCTTTGCCAGTTGGTCGTGTGTTGTTAGTCATTTATATGGGCCACATAAATTATAACAAATATGTACGCAGGCGGCATCCGAAATGATTTCTCACTGTTCACTGTTCGCTGTTCACTGTTCACTGTTCGCGCTCTGGGCTGCGAGTTATAAATAATCTTTAATTAAAAGAGCCTCGCAGCGGAAGACAGAAATATGTTTTAAAATATTGAGGTGTACGTGCCGTCGTGCGGTTGACAAAATGGCTAAATGCGTTGTGATTTGTAGCTGTCTCTCCAAGACATCGCACGGATACATTTCATTGTCGGGCCGAGTTTAATTGGTCTTAAAGTTACAGCTGCGCTGCTCTCGATCGTGTAATTCGATTTGATTCCGCAGCGTGAATTAACAATTTCAGGCGCATAAATAACGCTCGTTTACAATTGCCATAAATACGAAAACAAACAAATTAACCCAATAAAATTTGTAAAAATCACATAAATTACATTTGCATGTTTATATGTCGGTGAGTGCAATTGTGTTTGCTGGGTAAAAGTGCAATGAATTTGCTTACAAATTTGCCAAATCGAAAATAAAGGCAATTAAATAAATTTCTACCAGGGCAACGGCAACTGCAAACTGTAATTACCCAAAATGGCATGGGATTTTATTTTATTTTATTTGGCCTGCCTTTGTTTTGCTTTATTTATTGACATGTCAACAAATTCTGCTGACTCTGCCTCCACCTCTCTCTGTCTCTCTGTCTCTCTTCAACTCCCGACTATCTCTCTCTCTCTCTGTCTCACTCTTTACAGCGATTGCGAAATAATTAAAATCGAATTCAAACATAAATAATTCGCGCAAAGAACCAGCCCCGAAAAATGCTCGCAGTGCAAAGTGTGAAAGGTTTCTGAGCCGGAAAGTAGGCAACACCGGTGCAGGAGCACCAGGATACCCAGGATATCCAGCATCCCAGCCAAGCCCCCTCGTCCACCCACCTCTCTCACCCGCAGGATCGAGGGCTGGGCCACCATGGGCAGGTCCTGCAGCCGCTCGCTCTCCCTGTCGCTCTGCCTGCTCGTCCTTTCCGCGCTGCACGGCCAGGCGGCGGCGGCATCTCGCGTCCGCGTCAGCTCCTCGACGACGATGACGCGCAACATCGAGGAGGAGAACGGTGAGTCCAGAATTTTATATTTGATACTACCATCAGTGGCTAAAAAAGTGGATAAAATATATATAACAAAATACAGGCAACAATACAGGCAATGGACAATAAACTGAACAAAATGAAGTCATTTAATTTCCATTTTAAAAAAATAAAATAGTTCTAAGCGAAACAAAGGTCAGAATTACCTATTGTTCTTATTAAAGCTTACTGTTTTATTCCAGAAATTGTTTCCCATGGTTTTTGTAACTTAAAAAATTATATAGGGAACTTAAGTTTTTGTAATTAACGATGTTTTCCTATTAGTTATTGTTTAAATTGTTTTATAATTTCTCAAAGCACTTTTTTATCTATTATTTATAAAGGTTTTGATTCAAATTTTAAATTTGTCTGTACTCATGCGTTAATTCTAATAAATAATATATGTCTCAGCATATATCAAGCCAATATTGACAACCATTTTAAAAATGGTGAGATTCGAATAATATAAGCCAAATAAAATAAAATTGGACTCTCCCAATTTTGCATGTGCACTTTGTTTCTATAAGAATATCGCGTATATATAAGAATTCTTTTAAAAGAAAAATTGGTTTTAACCTTTAAAAATTGAACAGGTTTCCCTACAGGGATAATTTGAAAAATGTTCTTACTAAGAAAAAATAACAAAATATCGCCACTAACTATAAAAACAATGCGTTTTTCAACTGCGCTTTATCGGTTGTCACATTTTATGAGTTCAGCTAATGAAAATTAAAAAAATTGTAGTGTAGTATTACCAAGAGTAGGAATACATTTCTAAGTGGCTTAAATACAATTTTTAAAAATTAAATACATACTTATAAGTGCATAGTGGCTTTAAAAATAAATTATCTAACCAACTAATTGAAATTCAATTTATTAGTTAACCAGTTTCATGTCTTAAATATTAATATCAAATTTTAAATCTTCCTAACGTTTCAAACTTGATGCTTAAGTGTTAATCCGATTTAACAATATGTAACTTTTTCTCTAATACCATATAAGAAAAGACTTATAAACTGTGCTATAATTTGGAATAAAACTACTTAATTAAGGCTGTTTCAAAAGCTTTCCGTTTTAAAATATATAAATATATGTATGTAACTGGTGTAATAAAAACTATTTTTATTGAACCAAAACTAAATGATCCAATTGCGATGGCCATATCGAACTGATAATGTGCCTTGTTCCTTTGTGTTCGAAAGTTAATTTAAAATGAAAAGTTTGCTTGCCATTAGGCCTGTCTATGTATGCGTAAGTTCGTCGGTGTGTGAGTGCGTGTGCATGTGTGCGTGGGCCTGACGCAACTTTTATTCAATCAACATAAAGTTTATTGTGTGTAAAGAAAATTGCGTTTGCGTTTCCCTTTGTGGGCTGACAAAGCGGGGCTTTTGTCGCTGCATTATTGAGTAAATGAAATTTTCGGTTTTATGCGTGCAAATTATGCCAAATTGTTATGGATTTGAAATTGATTTCCAAGCGATGCGAAGCGCGGCCTCGAAAATCCTTCTAATCGAAGCTGTTAGCGGCTGAAGTTCGGCTTAGGAAGGGGCAAGAACTTTCTCCATGCCATCGCATTTCCCCGGCAAATAATAAAATGTGGCTAATAAATAAGCTGGAGGCAGTGGATCCCATTCTAGTGCTAAACGGGCGGCGATGAAAGCCACCGAAAACGAAACAAACTTGCCAAACTTTTCGGCCATCGAAAGTTTCGGGAAAAGATTGTACATTAGCATTGGGCCAAGTTCAGGCCTGTCAGCGGCAAGAAAGAGTGTCCAGGCCTGGAAATAGTTATCTATTGGCTCGTTCTGTTTCCATCTCAATTAACCTAGAAACCGGTGGGAGGGATAGGGATGCCTGAGATCACGCATACGCCATGTGGGCCGTCCCTATAACCCACCCTGGCCAGAGCAAAAGTCCAAGTCAAACAACCAAGTCAACTGGCACTGCAGCGGTTTAACGCCCGGGGCCCGGGTGCATATTGTTCCACTTGCCTGCTCGGCCTTTTGATGCCAAAGTTTCCAACAGACGCAAATTGCTGGTGTGCGCATGTGGGGGTCTTCATAAATTCAGATTTTATATGTTTTCAATTGAATTTCGTTGTTGCGCCAGCCAGCCATCCGAAACTTTTCACTTTGGCATTTTAATGTTTTCCAAGTTAACTTCGCCACACGCCACCACTTCCTTTGGAGTTGTTCCGGCCGCTTGCCGACTAAACTGAGCTGGCCAGCAAAAAGTATTTATCGCATTTCTATGAAAACAACCTACTCAACATTTTGGGCAAAAACTTGGAAATTATGTTTGGCTTGCCGCTCCGATTTGCCGCTGTTGTTGTCTGTTTTGGGCAAAAGTTTGCCAGTTGTTGCCGCAGCGCAGCTCTATAAATGCTTATTTAGAGGCATATCTGATGAGTTAAGTTTCGGAACAGACACTGTAAACTTCGATTCAGATGTCTATATCTGAGCTGGTGTTTGCCAACTTTGGCAAGGGATTTAACGCCAGACATACAAGATCTTCACTCGAGCATGTGGAAAGTGTGTATGCGGCTTGTTGAACCACTCCGCACGGGATAAAATGTGTTTTTTGGATTTATGCTGAATTAAGACATAGTGAAGTTTCCAATTATGCTTAGCAAGTATTTATTTTTTGAGTAATTATATTATGATTATTAAATGCCTTATTATTACTTTGTTTTCTATTACTATTATTAATTAATACTTAAAAATACTTTTAGTTTCCTTGTTATCATTTTGTATTTATTTCCTTTTTTATTTTCTTTCAGCTTTACTTTCACTTCTAGCTGGTAAGTTGATGACTACTTAATTTATTTTCAAACCACCTACATTATGCGGCCTTTAAGTTATCAAAATATTATTGGTCTTTAAGCCAGGACAACCCAAACAATTTTCCCATCGGATTGACCTAGCCAAACGCAAGGGGCGGTGGCAACAGCTGCTGCCACGCCCACAACATGAATACAAACACGAACCCACAGTTGAAGGCATCAAAGCAGCTAAAAAAATCAGCTTTGTAAGGCGAGCCGGCCAAGGGAAAAGTCAAGATTCCGATCGGATAGCGGGCCAAGAGCGTAAGCCGAGGGAAAACAGAAAAAGCAGAAAACAGCAGCAGCAAACGGAGAGCAGAAAAAATACCAAAACAACTTTCAGCTGGCCAAAGTCCTGGGCCACGTGTACGTGTGCGTGTAGTTGACCGAAAAAACTTTCCCTCGAACTTAGCCCGAGAGACTGAAAATTCCAGTGCAGCGGCAGGAAGCGGGCTGACAGCGCGATGAATGACAAGCAGCGCCAGTTCAGTTCAGTTCAGTTCAGTTTGTCAAGAGTCTTCTTTTACTTCTCCGACTTTTTCCCTTTCTGGCGATTGGCTCTGAGTGGGCCAGAAAGTCCTGGCCCACAAGTCCGCGGCTGCGGCAGCGGCTTCAAAGGAAAGCGACTGTCGCCAGATCTCCTTTCTCTACCCCCTCCCTTGTTGTGATTTTCGGTCCCTCTGTTGTCAGGTTTTCTTCGCTTTCTGTTTGCCCGGAAAACTCTGCCTGTTTGCCTTTGGCCACACATAAATGCGTGGCCATACTTCATTCATTTCATGGCTTGGCAAGGACATTTATCATCTGCCCCTCGAGTGCGTCACAAAAAGGCAGTGGGCTCGCTTCTAGCTCAGCCCGCCCCCTTCTTGTTTCTATATTTCTATATTTGTAGGCACATTGGTGGAGCGAGTGGTAGGGGAGGGGGTAAGGAAAGCAAACACCAGGATACTCGCACAAAAAAATTGCGCAAATTTCACCCAAAATGTTAAATAGAATTCATTTTGCCCACCCGCCCCAAAACCCTCGACCGCATTTCCCTCAGCCGTTATTCATGGCACTTTTTGCCCTCTTATCGCTCGTGTTATTTTTGTATATGAATTTCTGCGGCTACATTGAATGCCAAGGAGCCGCCGCAGCTCGGGCAATTGGCGGGGCGCAGAAGTGGAAAATTTTAAGCCTACTTGAAATTTATTTGCACTCATTATGCCTGACAGTTCGCAGATATCAAGGCGGTGTGAAAAGACCGAGATAAATTCATTTCGGGGCCTGGCGGCTAGCCATTAAAGAGTTTGCAGTCCTTGTTTGGCTTAGGGGTTAAGCCCATTGAACGGGATCGAGTCGGGCTTAGACGGAGAGCCCCAAACGCTATTTTCAATAGAATAGAACCGGGCCCCGACAGACTCACTAATGAACAAATAAAGCTTAACGGGCCAAGGAAATAAAACCCAACCACATTAATAAATCACACCGAGCAAGCGAGAACAGAACAGGAATAATGCAAATGCCTAGCGACAGACGAGGCAGGTCTGTAGAAATGACAAAACAGTTTTCCTACGAATCTCCATGTCTGACTTAAGAGATTTCCACGCAGATTCCGCAGGATGCAGAGCCGGCAAATGGAGTGGCAGGGGCACTTTCCCCCGCCCGATGAGTTTCCCATGTGCTCCGAGTCGTCACCAACTTCTCGTTCTGCCGCTGCGAAGGTATGTCTACATTCCCCCATAAAATCAACAAGAAAAATCAGACAACTCCGTTGGCCGGGTCCAGGGCAGTTTATTGTCGGCAACTGGCAACTATTATGCCATGCTAATCGGCTTAGACCGACTTCGGACCAGGTCTGTGAGGAAGCCAAGGGCTCAGGCAAACAAGCTCGGCCAGCCGCCGAAAGATGTTGCCATGTGGCCTGCCTGATTGTTCATTTGCCACACGCGCTATAAACACAGACCCTAGGGATACAGTGGAACAAAATCACAGAGTACTCCGTAGTTGGAATTTTTTCTGCTTTATTACTTTAAGACTTGCCCCAATTGTTCAAAATGGACATATCTGATGCAAGGTGTAAAACCGTGGTGGCAAGACTTAAAACCCAATTTTCGTTAATAATATATATAATAGTTTTTTTAGTTTAGCAAAAAAGGTCCCAAAATTACCCTTATATCAATTCAAACTTAGTCAGCAATTTTGTAAAATATTAAAAATGGGAACATTTTTCTTAATGAATAAATTTATTATGATACATTTAAAGTTCCTAATGCCTTTATTTTATAGGGTCACCGTCATGCACTTTATATTTATAATTCATTTAAACAACTAATTTTAAATTGTTAATAATAATTTTATTATTTATTTATATCCCATGTATATTTAGGTTTAAAGATTTTCCCAACGGAGATATTACTGGTTTGGTTTTCTCTGTGCAAGAAGACATCAAATTTTTTTCTGGGGCAAAAACTAAAGCTAAAGATGGAACTCAGCGGATACCTGAGAGCTTTGTTTTTTTTGTGTGTGGGGCCTCCGAAATTTGCGGCCTGCCCTCATTTGGCTGACAGCTTAAGATGGCAGCCATCGCAGATGGAACCCCAAGTTTTGGCCTCTCTGGTGGCTCGAAAAAATCGCTTTGCCGTGTGGCTGTGTGTGCTTTCGTTAGCATTCCGTGTGGAATTTGATACTTGATTATTTGTTGCTGGCCTCAAGCGTGCATAATATATCAAAGTGGCGTCAACGTCAACTGGAGATGCTTGGCCCGAACCAGTCCTGGCTCCCCGATCCTTTTGCTCGACATGTGTAGACATCATGTGTTGGCAGTCGGCCTGGAATCTTGTTTTTAGTTACAGTTTAGTGTTGGCCGCATAATAAATAAATAAACAGTTGACTCAGACCCTCCATCCACCTTCGAGTGGGCCTGCCCACGGGCTCCTGTCAGCTCCTTTCGTGCATGTCCTGTCTCGTTTCGTATGCTAAAGAGCCTGGTGGCGGGCATTTCTCTTAAAGGCTTTTCCCGCAAACCCAAATCACTTTCTGCTCATGAAAATTTCTCGAAAAATGCCAAAGTTTTTCATTAATCTTTGGCAGTTGTTGTCGCTGTCGAGGATTTGCATACTTAAGTTGTCGTTGACTTTATAAACAGGCGCATTTAAGACGCTTTTTATGCTGCCAAGCAGCAACAGTTGAAAAAACTGACCAAGAGAAACAAATATAATAAGTTTCATAAAGTGGGAATGAAAATGTAAAGCCCTGGCGAAAGGTCATGTCACCAAACTTTAAATAAAAATCTTAAATTTCACAAAAGAAAAAGGGACTCTTAAGTTTCTTTGAGTTTTATATAAAGCTTTTGTTTTCGTTTTAAAATAAAACCAATATTTTGGTAGATTTGAGTACCCTTGGAGAGGGTATTATAATATCAGTTAGAACTTTGCAACGCAGTGAAGGGCACATTCAGATCAGCAACACCAGGCGATAGCCATGTTCCTCTGTTTTTAACTTTCTACGCAAACTAGTGAAAGACTATGAAAGTTGACCTAGCTTTATTGCTGATAGACATCGAAATATATATTATTTTATTTTTGTAAAAGCTGCAAGGGTATAAAAGCTTCGGTTTATGTACAATTCTGGAAAATAATTGATAACTTATAAATACATTTTTTCACGTTACTTTTGACTTAAGCTCAATTTTAAACAAAAAAGGCACAAACTTTTCAAGCTTACTAAGAATTGGTCATCACAGAATTTGAAAACTCAGCCAAATTCGCAAAGAAAACTTTTCCAATGAAATAAAATATTTTTATGAAACGACCGAACCCACACAAATATTTATGTTTTGCATTAAAGGCTTAAAAACTATTCGAATCGGTTTTTATGTTCGAAAAGAGGAAGAACTTTGCTTAAGAGCCACATAACTTATATTGATTTCCTTCGTAATCCCTGTGCACTTACACCAGGGATCTAAAGAAATTCCAGACAATTAGTGCTTCGAAATCCCATTCCTGGCTGCACTAATCATAAAGCTTGAGTCCTGGGCCTTTGGCTCGCACACACATACATATGTCCTGGCAAATGGGAAGGGGCGGAGGACCCAGAAGGAAGACAGGGGCGAAGTGGAGGTATGGACCTCCTGCTGGGCCCGATTCTTGAGGGCTTAAGGCTCCAAAGCTCCTAGCGTGATGCCATGACAAAGTTCCGCAAATGGCAACTGTAACTTGCAGTTGCACATGTCAGGCCTAAAGGACTAAGCCCTGGGCACACAATCACAGGCCTTCGCCGCAGACACACTCGCACATTCATAACAATTTGTCGGGCAGGAATGTAGTCAAAAATCTCGTACGCTCTCTCAATTGTTATACAACATTTAGGGTCATTTGCATACAAAACCTAAATTAAAATTTGACCGAGCTGAATGGAGTCGAGCTGCATATTCTTTGATGTGGCATCAGCAGCAGGCCTTGCAGGCCACATATACGTACTCCATTCTTGCATCCCGGACTCCTGGCATTGTGGCATCCTGCATCCTGCATTCTGGCCACCCCGCTCCCCTGGCCAGTGGATTATTTAATTCACCAGTCCAACCGACAGTTGTTGCACTTTTCTAATTAGACGAGCAAGCAGCAGGCGAAGGGAGTGCCAGTCATAACAAAAGTTAATTAAACATGTAATTGTTGGCCGAGAGCAGCAGGCAAAGATTTGCCGAGTGGATTGGATGGCCGGGATCGAACGTGAAAGGGCAAACACCGCTCGGCTGCACGGTATCGCATAGTTTGGCATGATTATTACTTTCGGGGTTTTGCCCGCCAGCCAACTGGCAATTTGATTAAGTTGCAGCGAGTGCCGAGTTCTGAATGGCCATTGTTTTGCGGGTCGGGATCGGAACGAGAATTAAAACTGAAGCTGGCGAAGGACTCGGGCTAATGGCAGCGACTAGTTCTGCTCCTCGACAGCATAATAAAAATTTTACAATTCAATTTCGCTTTTATTTCCCAGATATTATG